CAGGGGCCTGCAGTGGGGCTGAATGTGTAAAGGACACACGTAGAGGCTATATCTACTGGAGAACCTGGTTCCCTGCTGCTAAATGAAGTGCCAGCCGGGAGCTGGGCTTTCCCCAGAGCACAGGCAGAAGGTGGTGGGGACAGGAAACCCTGCCCACGGGTGTCACATGAATCTGCTCATTGAAATGAAGTTGGGGCTCTGTACAAAGTGGCATCTCCTCAAAGCCTGCTTTCCTTTTGTAGGAGAGCGCATTGCCGGCCCCGCCCTGTTCAATGATCCCGGGGTACTGAACAGCTGTTCCTAGGAGGCCCGGGCAGTTGGGGAGCTCATCAGGCAGCGCCATCAATAGTGCACCGTGTTCTGACTAATTGGTCCTTTTCTGTGAGCGGGCAAACGAGGAGGAAGAAGTGGGCTGAGACTGAGATCCTCCCTCGAACGGGGTTGGCCTCTGGCCGTTCTCGAGAAGTCCAGGGATGAGAAGCGTTTCCACGATCACGCAAAGCTTGCTGCGAGGAGCCTCTCCCTGCGGGGAGCAGAGCATCGTCTGAGGCAGGCGGAAGACAGGACCAAAAACAACAACCAAAAAGGAAGCTCAGAGACGGCTTCTTCACACACCTCGAGCTGGTGTTTTGTGGCACCCAGAGACCTTTGCTTTTGCTTCTCTGAAAATCATTTTCTGTTCCTAAACTAAACCCAGCTTTGCGTTTTAAAGCAGAAACAACAACAAAATATTCTGCGCTTGTGTGAAGACTTCAACAGATAGCAGGCCTGACCAGTCCTTTGTGAGTTAGTGAACAAGCAGATCTGTAAACACAGAGGTGGTGAGGCTGGCTAAGAAAAAGACAGGCAAACGCGGATGAGAGAGATGGATCAACATGTAGGATGGGGCCGAGAAATCGCAGCACTTTCAGATGGAAAGGCATTCTTTTAAACATTCAAACGTTCTTATACTTGAACTCTCCTATAATGTGCCTGTCAAATAATTTCCCATCCTTGGGTTACAAATGATCTCCAGAGACAAAGCTTATTATTCCCAAGACAGCTCTAATGACTGGAAGCTTTCTTTGCAAGAGGCCAAAACCATACACCTGAAGTTCCCAATCCTCTTTCATATTCCACCCCTACATTTAGTTCTATGTGGATGGAACAGTCCAGAACTTCGTCCTGGGGTGTGAGCGAGCAAGTTTGTTTCACCTCCCCGTGTCTCAGAGTTTCCTTCTGTAAAGAGAGGGTGATGAACATATCTGCTTCACAGAGTTATTGTAAGGAGTAAGTGAGATAAGCCAGGAAGGACTTAGCATCCGATTTGAGGCGTGGTAAGTGCTTGCTAAATGTTAGGGTTTTCTGGAAGTCGTATCTTTCCTATAGCAGCCTTTCAAACATTTTAAGACATTGATTGTATCGATTGTCATTGGGAAAGGCAATTTTAGGTGTAAATAAATTCTATTCACTTGATCCAACTCTCCAAGCCATTAGGGAGAAACTACTACTGGCCAGAGAATGTGCTGGGGACTATTATTAGCACAAAAACGAAGAAAGCACAATCCTGGTCTCCCGTGAAAATCAGGGAGCACACTCATTATCTAGAATACAGAGAGGACAGAGGGAAGGAGGCCTGGACATGGGGACGAGAGGGGAGGCTTCTGACGGCTGGCGGCATCTGAGCAGAGCCTTGGGTACACGGCTGGGCTGTAACAGCTCAAGTCCCAGTGGTGGTTTCCACACTCCGTTGCACTGCACAGTGCCTGGCCTCACTAAGCAGAAGGTTCAGAACTTTACAGCCCCTTGAAGGCCTTGTGGTTCTCTCTGGGAACACCAGTTATTATATATGTCTTGGACAGAACTGTGAAACTTGGGGTGTAGTCGGAAATCTTCAATGAAGTAGGTAACGCAGTGCAATGGATCAAATGCTTTGTCTCCCCAAAATTCACACACTGAAGCCCTAACGCCCAATGATGTGGTATTAGGAAGTGAGGCATTGGGCAGCTAATCAGGTCATGAGGGTTGAATCCTCATGAATGGGATTAGCGCCCTTATCAAAGGACCCCAGAGAGCTTTCTTGCCCTCTTTCCACCATGTGAGGATACAAGGGGAAGTCGGCAGTCTGCAGCTTGAAAGCCAGCCCTCACCAGAAACCAACCAAGCCAGCATCTTGATCTCACACATCCAGCCTCCAGAACTGGGAGAAATAGAGTTCTGTTGTTTATAAGCCACCCAGGCTACAGCAGCCTGAATGGTCTAAGATACCCTGTGATCCTGGGTAAGCGGCCAAGAGTCTCCATTCATTCTGTAAGTTGAGGATGTGGATCAAATGCCCTCTAGACTTCAACTTCCCAAGGAACAGGCCTGCCTGGCTCTGGTGGGGAGTGAAGAGTAGACCACACGACATTGTGGATGTTGGCGTAGAGGGTGAGGTGAAGCCAGGGAATAAAGAAAGAGCACATAGAGACTAGGAACCTCCCATCACAAACACTTAAAAGAGGTTGCGATAGTTTCTTTAAATCGATTTAAACCTGACCATGAGCCCTTCTTGGTCTTGGAAGAGGCCGCAAATTTCAGTCTGTCTTTACTGAGGATCCTTATTCTCCCAGGCCAAAGACAGGTCACGCACTTTTGTTTTTGTTCAAAGGCTGAAACTAGAAAAGGAAGTTAACTTCAGACAATTCTGCTTTTAGTCTTACAACACCAACTGCCTCTAAAAAAAGAGTGGCCCAAGGGCTTAAATCAAGGTGAGGAAAAACAGCAAGAACAAAGAATGAAATACAAGTTAATACACTACAGTTAGACACTAGTTGGGTTGGAGAGCTGCGGGAACTCTAGAGGCTTATTAGTTGTGAGTCTTAATGGGTTCTGCAAGGGTTTGGGGGCCTGTAGGGTCTTTATACATCTATAGTCTACCTTCCTTCTCTCTTTGGATTCAATCTGTCCTCTTCTTTTGACCTAGTGTTGGGAAATGCCCAATTTTGTCTGCACCTTGCTTTGTGTGTGTGTGTGTGTGTGTGTGTGTGTGTGGTACTTGAGCCCTTCCTATGAGAATCACACACACATAGTAATTGATGTTCCGAATGTTAACTGCAACTCATTCAAGGAGATGTCATGCTCTGTCCAGTTCAACATAGGACTCTGTACCTGGAGTGGTGGCCCGATCTTTTCTCCTGGTTACATACTCATTGCACCCTTTGGCTATTTATTCACAAGCCCCAGGACCGTCTTTTGTTTTCAAGAACCCTCTTTATTCCTGCTTCAACCAGGAGAATTTTTTTTTTTTTAAAGATTTTATTTTTTCCTTTTTCTCCCCAAAGCCCCCAGGTACATAGTTGTATATTCTTCGTTGTGGGTCCTTCTAGTTGTGGCATGTGGGACGCTGCCTCAGCGTGGTTTGATGAGAAGTGTCATGACCGCGCCCAGGATTCGAACCAACGAAACACTGGGTCGCCTGCAGCGGAGCGCGCGAACTTAACCACTCGGCCACGGGGCCAGCCCCAACCAGGAGAATTTTTTAAATTCTCTGTGGTCAGTGAAGCCTTGTAGGTGACACCTGCATTTCACCGGTTCCAGATCACAGGTTCTTTCTCTTCCACAATGACACAACATACGCCATTGTCATAAACTCAGAGGTTCAAGGATGTCTCAGAGAGGGCAATTCCAGTAAGACTGATGATGTGTGGATGACTACAAGCCCTTCTATCAGAGTGCAGATGGAGTGTAGAGACACAGAATATCTCCATCTGGGGATTAATCATAGGTGTTGAACACTAGGAAAAACTTTGAAGAAGTAAATAATTTTGTGATGATATTATTTAGTCTACCAAATAAAACTATCTTTCCTGAAAGCCAAAAAAGTGCAATGTAAGTAGACGCCCAGCACAATTCCAATCAGGATGATTACTGTGCTATCTCTATGTGCAATATGAAATTACGTGGGAGCAATGAATTGTTCAGCTATCTTTGGGAATTCAGCTGAGTCCATCAGAAGGAGAAGAGAATCCACAGTGCCCTGGGTATACATAGGAAAATGAAATTTAGGCAGATTGTACTGCATTCTGAAAGAAATCTTCACCACTGCGTAGAACATTGTTATTCTGGAAGTATTTAAATTATTAAATTGGCCATAGAGACCTCAAATGAGAGTTCTAATTACGAGTTTAATAATTTTAAGAAATAATAAGAGCATTAATTTTACAATATTTTTCAAAGAGTCTGAAGCTAGTTAATTGGGAAACACTAAGATGAATTGTGTGACCTTGAGCACATTCCTTCCCCTTCTTTGGCCTCATTTTCCTTATTAGTCAACTAGGGAGTCTGAACTAGAGGAGACTTGAGGTCTCTTGCAAGTCCAACATCCACAGAATAAAGGAGATAGTAATGATTTTCCTTGGAAGAATGAGATCCTGTATAGGAAATAAAGTGTGTGCTCTTCAACAAGCCACTTCATCTCACTCAAACTCGGGGTGTTGGGGAGAAGTCATACTTGGAAGATTTCGTAAGGGAAATATCTACAACCATCTTTTCTAAGTTCTTCCGACACTAAATAATTACTTCTAATTTTTTGGAATTATTTTTAGATTTGGTTAGACCTCCAATAGCCTGGGGCAAGAGTTCATACCTTGGGGGTCTTGGATTGGTGGAGTGCCATGGATACGCTTCAAACATGGCAGGGGTTCCCTAGAGTTGTATGCAAATGTCATGTCCGCCTGTACGTACGTATGTGTATGGGCATGAATTATACGTATATCCCTCCCCACTAATGGGAAACAGATCCATGGATTTCATTAGATTTTTAAACGGAACCAGGACATTCAAAATGTTTAGGAAAAACTACTGTTCTTGTGGTAGGCATGTGCCATGGGTTGAATTGTGTCCACCCCAAACTCATAGTTTGAAGCCATAACCCCCCAGTGTGATGGTTTTTGAAGGTGGGGCCTTTGTGAGGTGATTAGGTTCAGGCGAGGTTGTGCAGGTGGGACCCTCGTGATGGGATTAGTGCCTTTATAAGAAGATACACTAGCGAGCTTACCTCTCTTTCTCTGCCATGGTCATGTGAGGTCACAGTGAGAAGACAGCTGTCTATGAACAAGGAAGAAGAGCCCACTGGAGAACCAAATTGGCCAGGACCTTGATCTTGGACTTTTCTGCCTCCGGAACTGTGAGAAAATAAATTTCTGTTGTTGAAACCCCCCAGTCTGTGGTATTTCGTTATCACAGCCCGAGCTGACTAATACGGTGCAAAACATTGAATTCATGAGACGTACATTCTAAGCCAATTTCTCTCACTGAATATATCTATAACCTTGAATATAAAAACATTGTTTCCTGTGTAAGGTGGAAACAAAGTATCGCTTTGAAGGTCTAAATTCTCCTTATATTTTCGGTATTATTTTGTAATTGAATGGCATAAATAAACTGGTTTTACTTTTCCCTTTTACCTTATACGTGAAGAAGCTGGAGGTCCCCCTAGCTGACTAATGAAGCGAGTGGCTGCAGAGCGGCAAATGCCCACCCCACCAGGCTGGGTGCTGCTTAAAAGCAGAGAGCTGAGAGTTCATGATCCACAGCACCTCACACTGACGGAACATGTGAGCACGTCCTCTGATTTTTGGTTAATGGGAAAAAACATGGAGCAATCAAATTATGCTTGTTTGAAATAAGGACAAACTATCATTTGTAATTGACTGGATTTTCTACTTAGGTAAATCACCCGAGGAAAAAAAAAAAGTCATTGTAATTGCTGAATTCCAAGTGAAGAATCTGACCCTGAAGAGAAGCTCAGGAAATCACACGAGATGAGATGAGCAAGCAGAGGCTGCATTGAAAACCTAGACTTTTATACTGTAAAACCCCTCACTTTTCAGCTTGGCAAAGTGTTTTTCATTTGGCGTGAATTTGAAATGTATTTTTTAAAATATAATTTAATTCTAAATTATGTTCGTTTCATAAGATGAATTGAGTTCACGTTTGTTTATCTCCTAAAATAATTCACATATTAGTTCCTCCTTGTAAGTCTTAAATAACTCACAGAGCATAAGATAGAAATAATTTCTAATAACTGTTTTAAATTCCTTCCTTTGTTATTGTTCTATTCATGTTTCCATTTACTTCAGTCACTTTCAGTGATATGTATATTGTGAAAATTTCATTCCTAAACATTTATTGAATGCCCCCTGTGTGCTGGAACAATGTGTCGTTTCCATTTTGTTTTGTGTGTTACCGTAGGTACAATGACAGGGGCTGACTACAGAGTTTCTACCTTCAAAGACAGTATCAGAGAAGATGAGCAAACACACTGGCAATTACAATACAATGTACTAAGTTCACTGCTATGATTTTAGGAGACCTGAGTAATATTATTTTCTTATAAGATTAAATCGTGTGTTTCTGCATTACTCTTCGAATCTCTAATTTGTGCATGATTTTTTTTCTTTTACTTTCTTGGTTAAATTTGCCAGATACTTATCTTTTCACCTGAAGATTCAGCTCTTGAAGTTCTTTCGCAATTCTATGAGTTTTCAACTATTTAAATAATCTGTTGACTTTTTTCTCTTTTTTTTCCTCTCTGCCACTTAACTTAGGGTTTTGGTTGTTATTATCTTGTTTTTTTAATATGCCTTCCCTCAATTATTTTCAGACAATGTGTTTATTTATTTATTTATTTACTGGGGGAAGACTGGCCCTGACCTAACATCTGTGCCCATCTTCCTCCATTTTATAACTGGGGTGCTGCGACAGCACGGCTTGATGAGCAGTGCGTAAGCCCATGCCCAGGATCTGAACCTGCGAATCCTGGGCCAGTGAAGCAGAGTGTGCCAACTTAACCACTACGCCACTGGGCAGCCCCTCAATGTGTTTTATTTGTACAGATCACTAGCCAGTGCAGATTGAAGACAGATTCTAAAACAAAGAATAATTCATCTTTTGGCCCCCGGGCAAATGATATTGGAGAAGACACAGCAGGAGACGGTGCTTCTGCTTGTGGCTGACCATCTGCTTCTCCCTCACATCCTTTCAGGTAGCATTCTTACAATGGACATTTGGGTCCTGAAGAATTCTGGTTAGGTTCTGGAAAGTAGAGATTTGGGCATCGACCAGTTGGGTTGGGTTCTAATTCTGACCCTGTCATGCAAAAGAGGAAAGCCTTTGCCTAATTGCCTAAACTCCCTCAGTTTTACTTTCTTCTTTGGTGAAAATTCAGGTTCCTAAAACCAAAGGCAGAATGACACAATGTATATGGAAGGGGTAAAAACTTTGTCCACAAACTCAGACATACAGACTCTGCTTTCTTTACATCAAATTAAATACCACTCCTCACTCTAGCTTGGTGGGAAATTTAATCTCTGTCACTATTGGGCCTCACCATCTGCCAGGTGTGTTCTAGAAGTCTGGAGGTATAATTGGCACTTAGAAAAAGGAGCCATGGCTTCTGACCTTCAGGCTCTCCTGGTGACTATGACATCTCATTGTCTCCACTCACTATGGCTCCTGGGAGTCTGATGGCTTTGCTGGAAATCCAGGTTCCTGCCAATGTTTAGCTGATAGACATGTTCACTCTCGTCTGATGGGGTCTGCTGCAGACAGGGCTGACCTAATGGAGGGACACAGAGATCCCCACCTCCAGGGTGCTATCTCCTTTCCAGGCTCACACAATCCCTACTCTTCCTTCTTTCTCTTCCGACTTCCCCTCCTCTCGCCTGAAGCTCCACCCTTCTTCCCCTTCTCCCCCACAGAGACCATTTTCAGTGAGCTTAGACCTTTACAGAGAACAAAAAGTGACATTAATTTCTGGGCATTTCTGTTTTTATAGGGGAAAAAGCTGCTTGGGGCAAGGAGTTGCTGATGGCTTGTCTACAATTTGAATTGGAGGTCAGTGGAAGCGTAGGAAGAAAGAACATCAATGAAAATATTTTAATCATTTACCTTGGCACACATATAAGGTGCTGGCCACTCAAAATATATGAGTATCTCTTTCTTCTTTAAAAATAAGAATGCTCAGTGATTCTTTGATGGATACAGTTCAGTTTGCGATGACGAAATGTTCAGATGGATAGTGCTGATGGTTACACAGCAACGTAAACATACTTAATGCCACTGAACACTTAAAAATGGTTAAAATAGCAAATTTTACATTTTGTATATTTTACTGCCATAAAAAAATTCAGTGATTCCTTAATCATAAACAATAAAAAATAGTTCCTCAGACGATCAAAGTCCTTGAAAATCTATCCCAACTCCCCCTTCCAAACATCTGTCCTTGATGGCCCTTGTATTTTCCAGTGTCTGCTGTGATGATGTTATGTAAGAAACAACCTCAACATTTCAGGACTTAAAACAACTAACATTTACTTCTCACTCATATTAGGTGCTAGGGTTCTGCTCTAAGCTATGAGGTAGTCAGGAAGGCCTGATATGTCTTCTCATTCCAGGACTTAAAAGGAGAAAGTTATATCTTGAACGTGACATTCTCAAGGTGGAGGGCAGGAGTACAAGAGAACTGATGGAACTGGAGGAAACTCCCAGTGACTCTATGAGTTTCTACTTGGAAATCATACAACAATACTTCCTCCAGTCCCACTGGCCGAAGCATTGGGCACGCGCCCAAGCTCACCTGTCAAGGGAGAGAATCCTGGTTGGCCTACAACTTATATTTTAAGGAGAAAAAAATAAAGAGAAAAGAAACTGTAGTGGATACAGAATACACATCTTTACAGTGGAATATTGTTTAGTCAATAAGAATAATGCTTTACAATTATTTAATAACGTGCAAAACATTTCTGTTATATCTCTGGGTAAAAAACTGCAGAGAGCAAACCAGTAGATACTACATGTTAAAAGCAATTATCTCTTGGTTGTGGAATTAGGCTTAATTCTTACTTTTAGATGGTATCTTACCACAGGAGTTATTTATTTAGAGCAATGCAGCCTCCAGAGTAATGAAGTAAGAGAAAATAAAACTCTAACGGGATAAATACTTTCCAGCCACATAATGTAACTATTCAGCCACTGAAAATAGTGCTGTAAAACTATTCAAAGACATGACAATATGTTTGCAATCTATTTGGGGGTGATAAAAAGGCAGGTTACAAAATCAAATACACTCTGATTAAAAGTAGTTGACTCTGACAGTAGGATTAGGGCTGATTTTTATTTTCCTGTGTGCACTTTTATTTATTTTTCACATTTTGTATTATTAAGGGTTTTTCTTTTTTCAGAAGTAATACAAAGTATTACTTTAAAGAATGCGAAGGATTCAAAAGTCAGATGCTGTCTGAACTATCTTAGTGCACATAATGGCCTGTCTGCAATTCCTTCTTTAATGACTGAACTTGTGTAGCTAAAATCACTATTTTATGTTATCATTTTTAATGTCACCTTATCATTGTCAAAAGGAATGCTGTTCATTAACTTTAACACTCTAAGATCTGGGAAAAAATAATTGGAACATTTCACATGATTCAAATTTTGGCCACTGGCACAAAAACAGCATCCCGAGCGCAGACCCACACCCCTCGCAGAGGAGGATGGACTGAGATGGAGACAGCTTGTTCCAACTTGTCACGTGTAAGGCAGCAAATTCCCAGGTGGTCACACTGGCTTGCAAACCCTCCCTGTCAGCAGGTCCTGCAGTCGGACAGATGAAGCTCGGTGCAAACAGCCCAGCCAGAGAGCTTCTCTGCATGACATGTGAAACATCTGTCCCAATGCAGCTGAGCCCCTCCTTGATTGCATCTTGCAAATTCCAGAGCCAGCAGTAGGAGAGCCAGCCCTGTCTATGTTTGCAGGGCTTTCGTTTTCACATTCCGGGGATTCTCAGGGCACGGTGATCTTAGTTATTGGCTAGTTTGTGGCTCTTGCAAATCTCTATGTGCTGCTGCCTCTGACCAGCAGGGAGAAGTCGTGTGATTGGGTCCTCATGCAAGCCGGGGCTGGCAGTGAGGCACTCGCAATTCTTCCCATTGAAGAGAGCCCCTTAGGAGCCAGGGAACGTCTGCTCTTCAGTGTTGGGGACTCAAAAATAGCATCCACTTATCTAACTTGAGCTCTGAACCAATGGAGAGATAAGCAAGACTTAAGGCAGGTGGGAGAACAAGATGTTGCCTTTATTACAAGTGAAGATCTTGGGGAAGGCAGCTTATATCTGAATCCCAGAATTAGCTAGACTCACCCAGCAGTCACAGGTCATTCTGGGCCAGAACAGCTTCTCCTTGAGCAGGGCAGAAGCTGCTGCCACCTGGAAGAGCACTGAGGAACGCAGGCTCCCTGCAGGGACTCATCCCAAGAGGGAGAGGGGAGGGTGGGGTGGAGACCCACGGGCTGCCCCGGGAGGACCAAGCCCTAGCTGCTAGGTTTCTTCAATGAAGATAACCAGGCATTCTGAAGGCAGCTGCTGAGGAGGGAAGAACAAGGACTGTGCTGGGCTGGACGCGCCCTGCTTCTTCTAAACTCTAAGCTTTCAAACTCCACAGTGGAATTAGGTCATTCCTCCTCACCAGCAGAAGAGAGAGTCCGAGGAGGCAGAGAGCAGCCAAAGAGTTAGATTCGTGGTACTTCCTGCATGTGGACTAGAACTTCTGGAGCAGAAAGGAAGTATTCTCATACTCCAACATGAAGGATGGCCCAGATATCTTCCCAAATGAAAACACAGACATGGGAGTCAGGAAGCCACACACACTCTGGGCCTCAGCTTCCTCATGCATTGTTTGTTCCCACATTTATGGAGTATTTCTCTTGGGTCGGGCACTGCATTAAACAGAACTGGGGTTAAAAGATAGATATAGTGTGGTCCTTTACCTTGAAGCACTGGAGAGGGGCTGGCCATGTAAACCCTGCGATTTCTAAAATCTCTTTAACCTCCTGCAATTCTAAGTTTTATACAGCACCCATCAGAGTGTGGCACAGCAGCTCTAAGTCAAGGAAAACATGGAGATGATCCTGAAACTTCTTGCTGAAGAGACAAGTTTTCAGCCTGTGGATAGAATCTTCAACCTTAAATACAGAGCTCTCAAATGTTTCCTCTTGAAGGCAGACCAAGGTCAAGGATATGCAGAGAGTTGAGCTGTTTACAAAACTGGCAACCTGAAGCAAGAGGTGAGGTGTGGGCTTTGGGAGGGGGTGGCTCAGGGAACAGGAGCAGAAGCTCTTGTTTCTGAGAAGCACGCTGATCCAGACTCAGGGAACTCTTAGCAGTTGAGTTGCCAAATGAATTGATGTATGATTCATGAGATCAATCATAGCAATACTTTGGAAAAAATCCTTTAAAGGCCTCCCTCTGATCACAAAGTCTAAAATAAAGGTAGCTTGCAAGCATATTTATAGTCTAACCTGCCTCCCTCTCATAACTTCTCCCCTTGAAATCCATGATCCAACTGAACCAAATTTCTTCCCCCTTCCCTGGACAAGTAATGTCTTGTCTTTCTTCTGTGTGTGACAAAACTTACCTCCACCTGAAACCCTTAACACCCCTGCCCTGACCCCAACACTTCTTTCCAGCTGGTTTCCTCCATTCAAGCTTTGCAGATCAGCTTAGATGTCACTCGTTCTGGGAAGCTTCCTTGCAAATAAGCGTGCCTGATGCCCTCCTCTAGGCTCCCTCACATCCTGCCCAGGTCCTCACATGGCCCCTCCCTCCCCTTTTCTTGTATCCTTCTCTAGCTGGTAAGTCCTGTGAGGATGGGGCCATGTCAGCCCTATCTATCCTTATACCCAGAGCATGAACAAAAGAACGAATCAACGCATAGATACTGTTTCACATCTGCATTTAGGTATTTACTTAACCCTTAAAATCAGGCTGGAATTGGGGAGAGCAGAAGGAATATTACCATTGCCATTTCACGAGTGAGCAAACTGAGAATCAGACAGTGGAAGTGGCATTCACAGTTCATTGAGAGGTGGGGCAAGAACTATCTTGTGATCTTCCATGATTTCCAATTATTCATGGTACCTACCTTTTGGGAAAGAAAGAAATTATGTTCAGTTGTCCCATGGTCATCTCACCTGATGTGAAAATACAAAATCACTCATATTCTAACTTCTTCTGCAATAATCGGTTTTAAATGTACTTTGCTCATTTAAACATGAAACAAATTATATATGGGTATTTACATACATATTTATATATAATGTGCATGTGATTTTGAACTTTTCCAATGGAAAGAGTTCTGTCGTTCCTTGAGGAACTAATGTTCCTTGTGATCCTTCTCTCCTGCTGAGATTTCACACTAGCATTCTGCACAGGCTAACACATTTGCCAGATTCACTTTTAAGCGTGTCCTATGGATTTTTTTTAATGCATTGTTTATTGGCAGCATAGATTTAAGTCATTTTCAAGTTTTCAACTTCCTACCACTTGATAATGTAAAAGTAGTGCCCAAAGTCATATTTCAAAATACTGTGTTAGCCCAAACTCCATTGCCCTTATTTGCTAAAAAGAATTGCTAGAGTACACACATTATTTGAGAGATAGTGTGTGCTAAGTACTCTGTCAGATTCTTAAGATACACAATGTAGTTTAGGCTTTAGACTTCCTGGTAAAGATTATTATCATCATTGTACAAAACAAGAAATTGATAATGTGAGAGGATAAAGTTGCCCCAGGTTTTATACACAGTATTTGGCAGAACAAGAATTCAGTTCCAAATTGTCTAACTCCCAAGTCCATGTTTTTCCGTTTCTTTTCTGTAATTGATCGTGAAAACTTGATCATGCTTATTCCATGATTCAGAACATCTTCAGTCCTTAGATCCACAGGAGGAAGAATAATATGGAAAGAAAATCGTTCAGAGACTGTCAAGAATGGGGTTGAGTTCCCAGATCTGGACTGTCCCAACAGGTGACCTTGAAAGAGTTAACTACTCTTCATGCACAATGAGGCTATTAAATGAGAAATGCTACTAAATCAAAATTGATTTGGGTGGCCACCTGGGTTCTAAACCATTCAACCTCAGATAACTCACTTCACCTTTCTGGGTTTCCATGTCCATATCTACAAAAACAGGAGCATGGAAGCCAGTGACCTCCAAACCATCTTACTGCTACAAAAGTCCATCAGTTCTAGCCCACATCAACATACTTTATTGTTATTATTATTAACTTGTTTCTTACCATTGAGTTTAAGTTTTGATTTTCCTTCATAAATCTCTTCCATGCATCTTCCAGTCTTCCAATTAATGAAGCATTTGGCCTTTTCCCACTCTTTAAAACAAACATAAGCATGTGCTAAGCTTGTTTACAGGTACTCAATCTGTTTTGTTGCACCACACTTTTGAAAAATGTACTCATCTTAAACTCTTGTCTGTTTCTGAGCACAGACATATACAGATGTGTCTTTCCCAAGCAACAGGAGGTGTTGTTCATGGCCAGCCTTTTCTGTAGCTGTCACCACAATGGCCTGTAAGAAACAGATGGGTTTATAAAGCATACAGAATTGAACGCTTTGTTTTCACTTTTTCAGTTAAAGGGGAAAAGCATCATTTAGGTTGTCCTGTTGAGCTGTAGATCTTTTCCCAGTCAGTTTTCTGGTTGTTAACAAGTATTGATGTCGGAGAGAGGAAGAGAGAGAGAAACGACCAAGAAGAGGTTGATAGCCAAGTAGAAACATTTCCACCAAGTACTTCTGCTTTAGAGGGATCATAAAGTTTTAGCGTCTGGGCTCGACATTTTAAGACTG